CTCGTGATTCAGGGCATGCGCATATTTTACTGACGTCACGATAGTACAAATTGCAACGTTAAGCGTCCCTTGTGACGTCATTTTAGTGTCTACAGACTGACTGACAGACAACACACTACTGTACAGAGGTACGAGTGGTTAAAACAAATGATCCCTCCAGGTGGCCTTTGGCCCCCTTTCAGGGAAATAAAATACTGACGATAGTGGAATTGCATGAATTGTGTCTAATATCCCCTTAACTGAGCTACTTTTGGTTTAGATAAGAGTTTATTATTCTAAATTGTGAGCGTAATTAACGCGTACTTGTTTTTTTTCGATATGATCACTGCATAATTAGCAATATTATGGTGCAAAATTTTCGATTTGTTTGCCGCAAGATTTTGCGAATAAACATTGATTCTCTTTAAAATATCTTCCCAGCCTTTTCTCTGTTTATTTTATTTATACGTTTTTCTGGTTACACCCATGTCGTTGTCAATTTTATTTATACGTTTTTCTGGTTACATCCATGTCGTTGTCAGGAAAGTTTCTCTCTCTTCACAACAATGTTGTCGTCAGGAAAATTTCACGGTCTACACCTACGTTGTCGCCTCGTTACAATCATGATGCCGACAGGAAAGTATCTCTATTTACTTCCATCTTGTTATGGGCAGTGTTTACGCGTTTACACTTCCGATGTCGCCAAGAAAGTTTCTCTAATTACACCAAAGCTGTGATGAGGAACGTTTCTTTGTTTACACCTATGTTACCGTCAGGAAAGTTTCTCTGTTTACACCTATGTTACCGTCAGGAAAGTTTCTCTGTTTACACCTATGTTACCGTCAGGAAAGTTTCTCTAATTACACCAAAGCTGTCATGAGGAACGTTTCTCTGTTTACACCCATGTTACCGTCAGGAAAGTTTCTCTATTTACACCAAAGCTGTGATGAGAAAAGTTTCACTGTTTACACCCATGTTACCGTCAGGAAAGTTTCTCTATTTACACCAAAGCTGTGATGAGAAAAGTTTCACTGTTTACACCTATGTTACCGTCAGGAAAGTTTCTCTAATTACACCAAAGCTGTCATGAGGAACGTTTCTCTGTTTACACCTATGTTACCGCCAGGAAAGTTTCTCTAATTACACCAAAGCTGTCATGAGGAGCCTTTCTCTGTTTATTTGTTTACGTTCAAGTTATTGACTGGAGTACCGTTGCATCTTTCTAAATATTTTACCTCAATACGAGTTTAGTTGACTGCCAGAGGCTTAGTTCCACCTTAATCTAATACTTTAGTTTTAGTTTACTCCATGTTTCAAACCATTGATATATTTCAGTAAAACTCGAAAGACTGAACTCACTAGCCAACCGTAACTGCATAAATGTGATCAAACTTTCGAATTAGAAACATATACTTTTTTTGAATAATATATTGTATTTTATTCCGTTAAAGAAGATACGATTTAAAAAGGTTACTTAGAAAATAACATTTATGAGAACCTCACATCATTAGTATACAATGGGTTTAAGTCTGTTCAGATATTATTTTGTATGTTGATACAACCTTATTTAAGTTATCATTTCGAAGTCATTCAAAACTATTCGCCAATTTTCATATTTTTCTATTGAATTACTTAGAATATATATATAAATGCTGCGACTTAATTGTATTCTGAACTCGGTGAGTTTTGCTTAATGTTAAACAAACAAAAATATAGCGTTCGTTTATGTTAAAGAGAAAAACAAGTTACTTTCACAAATATTTATAACTTCGGTGCCTTAACAACAATAGCTACGTTAGCATGTGTAAATACTTCGATATATTCAGTAAAAAAGAAGAGTAACATATGGATTTAAATGTGATGTATTACAAAAAAAATGTTACTTTTTTGTGGCCATGTCATTGTTATTGTTCTTATTAACTTGTTTCATCTTGGTTCATACATGTGTCAAAAGTTTATCTTGAGGACAGCATGAAGACTGACATATCAAAATACAGGTCCTAGAAGATCAATTATAGTTCCTGAAAATAGTAATTAATGGTATTTATTTTTTCAAGAACATATTAATGACTAGCAAAACTTAATATTGCTAGAAGGTCATTCCTTCTAAAATTTAATTTCTAACAATTTTATTTATTTCATTAAAAGCATCGCTCAAAAGGTTACAATTTTAATTGAAACCAAAGTAAATGTATTAAAACAAAATAGTTGAAATCAGGTTTGTAGCTACGGTGGGCGGGGCCGCCCAGGTGTCGTTCTGTCCGCCCAGCACTAAATATAACAATGAAAAAAAATTCACCACAAGCATGAAAAATTCGTTCGTCGATATTGCAGTACAGTTTACTTTGCAATTAGCTTGTTAGAAACAAACACTTTTCCTGAAAAGTCGCGAAACAAATAACCTTCGCGCTAAACTACTTTTCAAAAATGTCCACTGGAAAAACCTGCACGCGAAACTGAACAAACGGCCCACCCTCACATTAATTCACTTGTACTCCACATGGCACATCAGACAGTATCATCCACAGTGGATACCATATTTTTCTTTCCAGTAAAAGTTTATTTGGCGTGTAAAAACATTTTTCAGAATTTTACGGATATCTAAAATATATAAGTATATCAATGTGTTTTTGCATAAAAACTTTTAAAATAGTTCTTGATACACTTTTACCTAACGAAATTAATACTAGCTCAACGAAGACGACCTCTACAAGTACGTTAATGACGTCATGGAAGCTATATCTGAAATTATAATACCCTCAACAAACAAAAAATTATCGCCACAACACTGGACACTACCAACTTATGAGAGAACGTAGAAAACTTGATGGCTTTTTACGACTACTAGAGACCAATCGCTAAAACCGCAAATAAACAGAACACGTGTGTTAATTAAAAGTAACATCAAGATCAAGAAATGAAAACTGGACTAAATACTGCCACTCATTAGACAATTGTCAGGTTCAACCCAGAGAATTCTGGAAGAAATTTAAATCACTTACAACAGAGAAAAACGATAATAAATTATTTCAGCACATCAAATACAACAACATTACTGCCAAAACAGACTTCGATAACGAAAACCTGCTTGCTAACTATTATACTAGCTCTTTCTTTGATATCAACTCCACAACTAATCAATCTCTAAAACAAAATATCGAAGAACACGTCTTCTCAAGACCGGATTATACACCCCACAATTTCCGACTAACCGGATTATACACCCCACAATTTCCGACTAACCGGATTATATACCCCACAATTTCCGACTAAACGGAATATACACTCCCCAATTTCCGACTAACCAGATTATACACCACACAATTTCCGACTAACCGGATTATACACCCCACAATTTCCGACTAACCGGATTATACACCCCAAAATTTCCAATTAACCGGATTATACACCCCACAATTTCCGACTATCATTACCAATTATGAACATGACCTTTTCAACATAAAAGTAACAATAGATGGGCTTACGATTAATACAAGCACTCTAAAAAACGCATCCTCCGACAAGATAGTATATAACATATCATTTTAAAAGACGCCTCAAGTAACCTTCTACATGAACCTATCCTTTCTGTTAGGATACTACCCTGCTGCTTGGACAAAAGCAAAAATCACAGTCATTCTTAAACCTTCTCCAGGAAGCTCCAACCCTAACAACTTCAGACCGATAAGTCTGCTAAGTTGTCTGGGTAAACTCATGGGGGGAATTATTTCTAAATGGCAAATTCTTTGCCCCCCCCCCCCCCGGTGTGTCTGCGGACTTACAACGATGAAAACCGGGTTTCGATACTCGTGGTGGAACAGAGCACAGATAGCCCATTGTGTAGCTTCGCGCTTAATTGCAAACGAACCAAACTAATTCTTTTCGGCAAAAACAATAACCTAAAACCGGACATGCAAAATTACTCACGAAAAGGACGACAGACCACTTAACCAGACTTACAGAATCAATTTATAAATCCTTTAACAACAATCAAGTAACAATAGCAGTCTTCCTAGATGTCAAAAAGGGCTTTCGATACCGTATGGCATAACGCCATCAGATACCATTTATACTCTATGAAACTCTTGATAAAAGAGTTAGCACAAAGGATCACATATAAAGTGTAATAAACTTAAAATAAGACCAAAAACTTGAGAGCTTTTGAATAGTTGACTATTCTTCTCCTGAAGTCACTGTTGGTGTAGAAACCTATGGATAGTGGAAGAATGGATGGGAGAAGAGGAACAGGATGGAAAACAGGAGCAGAAAGAGGTAGTGAAGATGGGAGACAGCAATTGAAAGACAAGAAGCTTAGGAAAGGCAAGACACAAAGATAGATAAAGAAAAATGTTGGCATGTGACCTCAGCCTTTGACTATACAGAATCAGGTATCCCACCAAAAACCTATTGGTGGAGGAAAGGAGGCAGTCAAAAGTTCCCGAGATCAGAGGGAAGTAAACATACTTGGGAAAGAAGGGTGTCCCTCCCCAACAAATCCAAGCAACGGAGTAATCAAGTGAGAAGAGACAAAGCCAAGAAAGAAGAATGTGCCAATGTAAAAAAAGGAAAGGAATGAGAGGGAAGTGAAAGTTAGAAAACAGGGCAAGGTAGAAAACACGTATGTGCAAGCTGCCCCAGTTAAGCTGACAGGGTCATAATGGAAAGCCTCCAAATTAATGTAAAGCATTAGAATGAAGAAAGAAGTTGAGCATATGATGAAGATAAGTAGATGGAGAGAAAGAAAAAGAGAAGATCCCTAAACTGAAAGACAAGAGTTCAGGTGAATGAAACTCATGCAATACGAGAGCCTTAGATTCAACAAAAAAACTACTGGATAGAAAGAAAACAATAGACACATACCTGTGGGATCCAAACACCGAAAAACAATGGAACTACCTGATGCATGTCAGATTGAGGGAACAAGAAGGAAAGGCAAGCATGGAAACAACTGTGGTGAAACACAAGGTGGAGCAAGCTCACTTGAAGTAATGAAAGCAAGAGATTGAGAGTCCTGGATCCAAGCTCAGAATGAAATCAACCATGTGATGCACAATGGCAATAATATCACTGACAGTCAATGTTTCTAGCCACCATGATACTATTGGATGCCTCCTGTGAAACAGTGATAAAAATCTCAAGAGATGTCAGAAATGTTGGAACATGAATGTATAATCCAGTTAATATGTGAAACTGATGTTTTTTGTGGTTCACTTTAATAAAGTAAATAGAAGATGGATTTCTTTTTTTATATTAATTAGAAAGTAAATGAGTTAGGTATGGCAGTAAAGCATAGGCTTAATGGTGACTTTGAAGAGCATTGGACAAAACACATATGTTGGATTAAACAAAAGAAACAGACAATAGGACGTGTGTTCCAAAAGCACACAGTCAATTAAAAGAAAATCAAATTGAAGATAATTCAAATGAAAGTCATAACCAATAAGTTTAAAAGTTAGTATAATTCTTTCAAAAAGTCAAGAAAATTATGGAAAACAAAACTAACCAACGAATAGTAACAAAAGATAAAATAATAAGCACAAATAATTTAGTAAGTCTAATGAAAAAACATGTTTGAAGATGAGCAGTGCCAAGGAAATAATGAGCCGATGTTCAAGTGCTAGTGTTCATGTGAATTACTGTGCATTGGGAACGTGTCATCCTCCTGTTAGTGGAAGGCTATAATATAATGATGATTACACCATAGGCTAGCACAATATACATTCACACATGTAGGGATAGAAACTTTATTCAAGGCTTGTGGTATGCAAAGAAATTTACAAAGTGTGCTTGAAGTACTAATTCTTTGTGCTATAAAGAGGTGAGTAACATTTCTAAAGTTTTGCTTATTACTCAAATCATTATAGAAACAAACAAATGAAACCTATAATACTGATATTCTTTATATAATAAGAAACCCAAATTTACAGTATTCAATTGTATTTAGCAAGGGTTGTTTGTACATATAAATAATCTTAACATCTTGAATTCAAACTGTTTATATATATAAAAGAAAAAGTAAATAAATAAGTACATGAATAAAGAAAAATATTCTTGAAAAAAGCAAGAAATGAGGGCATAAAACAAACATCCAACACCGGGCCGTAAATCATAGGGTGGGTCATTGTGCAATGTGCTCTGGTTCTTTGAGGTACTGACGTAAGTAAAACCCACATAGTGTTCAGGGTACACCATCTATCCAATTTAACCTTAACTTCACTGGCCTTACATGCTTAGAATAAAAACAAAAAGGAGCATATGTGGGGATGCTAACCCACAATGTCCCACATCTTCACCACCTTTTGCTGTCTGCAACCAGAAGTGGAAAAGTGGTTGCTCACAAAAAATCAAAAAATAGTTAGAAAGATAATAATCGGAATACAATACATCAATGGGAGACAGCAAAACTGTCCTTAAAGTTAGGATTCTAGCCTCCAATATAATTTTTCGATACAAATACCAAAATGTGAAGGTTTTACTACACTATCCTTAAAGTTACTAGACAAGACAAAGCATACAATTCTATCTTACTACAATTACTGGGTGCCTTTTTAATATGCATAATCATTGCCTTTGTTATTCATAGTGACCACATTCTGCTGGAAGAAATATGTCATAAAAGTATAAATCTACATCTACCATAACTTACAAACAAAGACTGAATGACCAATAATTTACATTTCATAGATGACAAACCATTAGCTTTCCAACTTGCATTTCAAATTACACAATAAATCATCAACTGACTTATGTAAAAATGAAATGGATGGGATTCACATTACTTTACCTTCTTATTGCTAAAATATTAATTATCCCCGAACAATTTTGTGCAGTGTATAAAGCCATAAGAGTAAAATTGTTACTGTAATGCCAGATACACTCTTGTAGAAGTAGGATTTCAGCAGTTTTCATTTTCAATCTGTGATCCATTTTGGAAAAGACTGTTTAACATTGGAACTACTGTTGTCTCCAATAAAAATGTTTTATTTCTTAAAAACCATGCAAAAATTTAGACACTTCAAAACAAATGATGTTAGTACACATTAGTGATGTTACATTTTCATTCACATATATGTAAAGTAATTTTGCACCTGAAAAAAATTGTTCAAAACAAATTAAGATAATAACAAGCAAAAGTCATAAAAGATCACAAATCACCAACACTCATTGTTGGGTGTTGCTTTCTTACCATGGTTGCTCGATTGTATCAAAAAAGAAATAAGGAGTACTTTTCCTTAAAGAAATTTGTCATTTAGTTTCAAAATGGTTTCCAGTATCTTTATAAACATGTAATAATATATAGCATCACGTAATTTGTAAAGTGTAGTGTGAACTGTAATTTGAAATTCTTTTGTCCAGGAAGTAGGACATTTATTAATAAAATTATGAATTAAACCCAATTTTTACTAGATTGTCTGTTTATAAGTTATAAAACTAAGAATGTCCGAACTCTATTTAAATACCATTAAGTTTAATTAAACCATTAAAAACTTTAAGTGCATATTTTTTGTATAAAAATAAAAATTGTTTTATAATTTATTTACAAATTACATTCACTGATGACCCTTCCCATTCCTTCAGTTCCGGTTCTGGTATAAAAGTTGGCTCTGATATTGCCGATCTTTTTTCTTCGAGTTCTTTATCTCTTTCATCTTTACCCTGATCGCAGTTTTCTGTCTCATCTTCCTCTTCACTGTCACTGCTACAATAGTAATGTAGTTTTTCTCCTAAGATTTTATCGTCAAGAGTAGCCATGTTTATAATATATAATATCGCCATCTACTGAGAAATGCCCTTTTCTAAATATTGATATTTATATATTATCTATATTTACATTTTTGGTATCTTATAGTTGAGTAAGGAAGCATATTATGCTAATATAATAATAAGTACCGAAACATCGATTTATAAGCTTTAAGAAAAGTTTTATTGATGGTGGAACATACTACATGTTTCGACAGAACATTGGTCTGTCTTCTTCAGGTATGATAATTACTAAGCAATACAAGGTTTATATATCGTTAAAAAGACATAGCGATCATATGTGAGGGAAACATGTAGTATTTTCCACCATCAATAAAACTTTTCCTTCTGCTTATAAATCGTTGTTTGCCTACCTATTATTATTGATAACTTATAGTGTCACTATTTGTTTAGGCTCCTTAACTTAAGACCCTTTACTTAAGCCATATACTATATTTTGTCATGACATATGATTAATGAACTTTTAAACTTTTAATTAAATATTTAGAAAACAAAATCATAATAAAAATGTAGTTCCATTTTCTGCTGTTAAATTGTTGCATAGTGTACTTCGTTCACCCTATTAGTTTGAATAGGATTTTATACTATCTTTACTGTATTTAATAATGTTACTTAGCGTACGTGTTTTTAACTTCTTTTTTATTACATACACTATTAAGCTCTCCATGTCGCATATTTTTTCGACTACATTCTTCTTAAGAAGTCTATCAAGCGATTTAAGTCAACAATATGTGAAAATAGCATTTCAGATTATATTTTGCCTGCCGCAACTCGCTGCCAAGGAGGTCTTTCGCACAATACCAGAAGTCGTCAGCTATGTTGAACATAATGGCAACCTAGTATATATGAAAGCAAGTTATATACAATACGAAATTATCATTAACTTCTGATACAAGCATGGTACGAACTACAAATTTACCCATTAACTAATTGGCCAAATTCAACGTTTTCAATAAAACAAAACTTTTAATTTTGAAGTTATAACTTTTCCATTTTTGTATTCCAAATACGTTATTTTACAATGTCTACCACTCACAGCATATTAGGTATTATTGTAGGTTTTGTTTTTAAATCTAGATGATTTCAAGGGGGGTTTGTCGTCACGTGGTTAGTGCGTGACTGGACGTTTGGATTTTGCTTTTCCAAAGTATCTGAACAGTTTGCGGCCCAGCATGGCAAGTTCGTTAGGGCACTCGACTCGCAATCTGAGGGTCGCGGGTTCGAATCCCCGTTACATCAAACATGCTCGCCCTTTCAGCCGTGGGGGCGTTATTATGTAACTGTCAATCCCACTATTCGTTGGTAAAAAGAGTAGCCTAAGAATTAGCGGTGGGTGGTGATGACTAGCTGCCTTCTCTCTAGTCTTTCACTGCTAAATTAGGGACAGCTAGCGCAGTTACCCCTCGTGTAGCTTTGCGCGAAATTCAAAAGAAACCAAACCAGAACAGTTTGATCTAGATATATAAAGTGACTTAGGCTAGATTAGATTATCGTTGACTATAGATTTAGCGAGTGAATCTGTTAGTGAGTTAACGAGTAAGAAGTTCATGATTTAGTCAGTTTGGATGTTTTTATCTGCCAGTGAGCTCAGTACTACAAGTTTTGAGTTTGCGTTTCCGGCAAATGCAAAAGACAGAAAATTAGCTAGTAAGCAAAATTTCTGTTTTGACATTGTTCATTTATGAAGTTAGCCCCTTATTAGTTACGTAAAACTGTAGAACTTGTAGATACTAGGATTTTAGTTCAAGAAGTCAAACCCTTTGTTATCATAAGTGGACTGGACTATTCTTCCTTTTAACGAATAATATGAGAGGAACCATCCAACAGTCCAACAGTAGAAAATATTACAGCACTGGTGCCAACAGTGTGATATTAAATAACAAAAAAAGAAAAGACCACCCAGAATCAACTTCAAACTTCAAGATTATGATATGTTCTGGAAGTGATGATAAACTTCAAAAGTGAAACAGAGATCGAGAAGAAAGAGACAGAAAATTTAAAGACGGTCAAGTTCAAATTTTCAGAATATTAAATAAGACCTTAAAAAGTGATAAGATTAAAAGAAGAAAGAAACACAAAATTAAAAGAACTTCAAGAAAGAAACAGAAAGTTTAATAGATCAAGAAAGCAAACAGAAAATTAAACGAAGGTCTACAAGAAAGAGTTAGAAATGGGAATAAGGATATGGGGAGATAAGAGAGGAATTACAAGAATAAAACGTAAGACTTGTGGAATAATTTCGATGACGAGGAACCCACTTTGAGACTAATAATGGCTGGAGACGGCTTGAATGGGTAATGAAGAAAAACTTTAATATAAGTTTAACATAACAGCAAATGCACAACGTTTCGACAAGGTTTTGTCATCGTCAGGTGGAATAATTGTAATCAAGAACAAATTTATTTGAAGACGAGATCGAATAAGATATAGAAAATGTAGGATTAAAATTGAAAAAAAAAACCGTACGAAATGCAGAGAAAGATAATACAATCAAACAGACGAAGCCATGGTAATATACGGAAAAATTATATAACAGCAAGATCAATAAAGTACAAAATAACATCAACTCCACAATAAAATATCTAGAAATTGAAATTGCAAGTAATAAATCAGCTATGCCCCCTTCTCTGTCTCTGCTCAGAAAGTTTAACTTCGGCTATCATTAACTATGCTATATAGAATAATAAGGTTCATATGGTCTGAAACTGTTAATACTACTACTGTAGGATCTTCCTGGATATTTCAACAATGCTCTTACTTTATAAAGTTATGGAAATTTGTATGTCAGTTCACTAACACTTCCCTATCGAGAAACCAACAGAAAATTATAGACAAGTACCAACCATGTGAAGCATATTAAGTACAGTTGGAAATAATTTCCCAAGTGAATGGATGGAGTAAGGAAGACCAAGGTATTCATATAACTGTAAATTTAAAAGGACCAGCTTTAATAACATTAGGCAACGTTTTAACTGAGAGCTGTAAAAACTACCATGTATTAGTGGCCACGTTATCAAACAGATTTGGAATGTTACACCAGAGGAAAGTGTCTAAAATAACCTTTAGGTGCAGAGTAGTAAGTAGGAAAGACTTGCTCAATTATCTGACTTAGAATTTCCATGTGAAATGATCAATTAGTTGGCATTCAATCAATTTATAGATGCCATAGTGGATGAGGATGTGTGAATTGGATTTAAACAAAATAAGTATACATCTTTAAGGGAAAATGTTCATTGGGCAATATGGTTTAAATCAATTAAAGTTACAGATTAAAAACTAAAAGCAGCACCTAAAAATTATGTGATCATCAGATTAAATTTTGTGGAAGCATCAACTTCTTCTATACTGAAAGGATTAATTAAGCAACTGTTTACTCAAAAGGGAACCACAAGACTCTAGATGTGCAACTTAAAAGGTCATACTGTCAGAAAATGCAGACAAAAACTGGTAAAAAAAATCTCCCAGTAGATGTCAGAAAAAGGAAAATGCTATAAGTTTGGAAAACATGGGCATTACAGCTGAGACTGAAATTAATCAACAGACACAATACTCTGGAATGTCCTACTCCTCTACTTATATGACATAATTATACACAGAAGACCATCAATGGTGCTACTAGTGGGATAAAAACTAATGTTATGCCACACTTTAAAGTCAGATATGGTCCAAGTGGGGTATTCTACAATCCTTAAATTAGTTATGCCAACAACTATTCCAAATAACATGTACAAGTAAGAGATAGAATCCCCCTAACTCAAACCAAATTGCACGCATATCCGTTTCACATTTTGAGATGGGCTTGCCCCACGCTAAAGTGCGAGCAAAGACGTGGGCTCAAACTTGTACAAGCTTCGATGGGATAGCTATTGTCGTATTTAATCTTCACATAAGCAAAAGTATTAGTACCAGTTTCTAACCTTTCGATATCCTGTTTATAAGGATATCAATATTACATGCAGAAAACATGAGTTGAAATTTTGAAAACTAATTGGATATATCATTGTAAACTGTTGTTTTAGTTTAGATGTTTGTAATATTGATTGTGATTGATTTGATTGAAGTTTGCTAATGCAATGGGCGTACATTGACAAATGACTAGAACCTTCGTGAAAGCTTAGGAAATTATTTAAGCGTTATAAAACAAATGATAGGCTAGAATAGATTTATTAATGATTTATGGATCTGTTAGTAAGTTAGTTCAGTTCTAGAATATTAAGTTAGTGTTTTCTGCTAAATGATACGAAATAATATATTATACATTCTGTAGATTGTGAGAAATTAGCAAGTAAGTGAAACTGTTGTATTAGCATCTACTGTGAATATAGGTCTATTAGTGAACAAACAAACTTCTAGAAATAAAATGTTTTCATTATCTTTAAATGTATTGGGCTTTGCAGGGGTTTTATTTTTTTGTATTTTGCTGTATAATCTAAAAGAACAAAAGCAATCTCACAAGATTTCTTCAAAACGGCTGAATGGATTTGGACGAAAGTGGGTATAAACTTGGACTATGATCCAACTTAGAAAATATTAGTTTTTGAAAGCTTAAGGTTACAGCAAAGGTCCCAAAAATCTAAAACATTCCTATCTGTTAACATGGGGACCGATTTTTCACACTATTTTTGCTCTATAACTCAGTCAAAAAATATCGGATTTTGATTAAACTTGGTGGACATATGTAGAATATTATTCCCCATTGTTCTGCCAAAAATGGTTTGTGCTCGTTGATAACGACGGACATACGGACACATTTTCGTATTTTTTGAGAGCTGAATATGATCAACGCTGCGTGGCGGAGGTATATGCTTTACTGAGTGCCCCTTGAGTTCCAATTGGGATAATCTCTTTTCCTTATCTCAGGTCCTCCCAGACCTTAGCAATAAAATTAAACTTTTAATGGCCACATAGTAAGCTAATCGCCATGCTATAATGTGCAATAATAATCTCTATTAGGTGGCAAGCAAAACAAAACGCCATGACATCTACACAAAGACAACAAAGGGTAACAAAAAT